CCCTGGCTTTGGGCGTGGTCTACCGCACCACCTAACAGGCGTGTTCGAAACCGCAGGAGCTGATGATGAACGGGTTTATCGAAACTTGATTGGATGAGCATATCGGTAATAGCGATTTCAGTGTGTGCATTTATTGTTCATAGTGGTGTGAAATGTGGTTGGGGTACGACCGACAACCCGTCGGGGCGAATTTCGCACTGGGGTACTCAAAATTTGAAGAATTTAAGACGTTTCCATGAGTTTTGAAGGTATGGATAAGTTCTAAAAATCCGGTTCTCCTTATCTGGGCCATTAACTCCATACGGTCCAAGAAAGCTGGCACACTACCTTTAAATATCAAACCAAGGCCATGGGTATCAGACATGAACTGCGATTTCCGGTGGGCACAGTGACTTTGGTAATTGGTATGTCAATGTCTTTGAAAAGGCAGGTAAGATTTGCAACTGGTCAGCCTTGCTTCAATTGGATTTGTGTCCATTATAAATGGATTTCAGTCATACTTACCTCATATGTTATTGGTATTTGATTTCTACAGCCCAAAATATTGTTGGGTGTGTACAGCAAACTGAATGGAAGTGATGTGTAGTGTGTACAAACATTTGAAGTATTTTCTGGACTGCTTGCAGTTAGAACTTGTTTGCTTTGTTGTAGGTGACAAGATAAGAAATTGAAGCAAGACTGACCAGTGACCAGTATGCTACAGAATAGGTAGCCCAATCTGCAGGAATATTAGAATTCAAAAGTGGAATTGGGACTTAGGAACTGGAAACTGCATCAACCATGTTTGCCAAAGTAGGTAGGTATGTACCTAGTCCTACTAGGTAGCTGCTTGAATCTTTGGTCAAGGCTACTATGCTGCTTAATACAATTGTGGTATGCGGCATATTCATTTTATCATAGCTTTGAGTCAAATAATCAACAAATGCCTATAGTGAGTCATGGGTTGAATGAAATAAGTTCAATAAAAATGTCGTGTGAGTCATGAGTTGATTTCAATCGATTCATCAAAATGTGTGAGTCATGAGTTGATTCGAATCATTCCGTTGGCTAGTTGCTCGAGTCATGAGTTGATTCGAATCATTTTATCGAGGAACTTGATGAGTCATGAGTTGATTCGAATCAATTAAATTTAACATCATGAGTCGTTTGATGAATCGATTCAAATTTCCAGACTCAAACAAAGAATCGACTCAAAAAAAAAATTGAGTCGTTTACAAGTCTGGTGGGAGGGTCCCTTTAAAGAAAGACTTCGTTCTCGTAAGCCCGCGGTCATCACGTATGGAACGTGCCCTTTCAAACTGGAAATCCGGATCAAATTTCCTAATGCAATCCGAAGTATGTACCTACGTCGCGATCGATTTATGGGTGGGAGTTGGCACGCAGCACCACGCCATTAAACTCATTAGCAGCATTACACGTCCTCTGATCGCGGCAAATCCAGATTGGTGAGTCAACTGGGAACGCTGGCCGCTCGTCGGCTCTGGTCAATGTTCCAAGCTTGTCAGAGGACGCTTCTTTCGAGCAAGTGTGCTGCTCTTTACCCAGTCCGGCAAAAAGGGACTGTCTTCCCTTCCACTGACGGACGTGCTGGATAAGTCAGCTGTCAACAGATGCTCTAAGGTCGATGACTTCTCAGGCATGTCGCGGACGCTTGATCACGTTGCGGAAAATTGCTTGTCATATTGTGGACAGCTCCCTCCATGCTTGAGAGGGCCGATAACAGCCATCAATGTTTCACAATTCAAGGCAGCTTCACGGTCATAACATAAATACGCAGGACAGACACTAAAGGGATAACAGATAGTGAAATCCTACTCAGCAATTAAATGCATGAAGTATCATCAATGAGGCTTTGTTACTATCAATATGCCAACTTAGTCTTTGAGGAAGGCAATAATTTTAATGAAAGCGTTCTGATCTGAAAGTTTGGCACTGTAAATGAGAAATGACCAAAGGAACAAAGCAAACGGTAGAGAGGAATGATTATCTCTTATCAGACATCAACTGATCGCTGCCATGAATCAGTTAAATTACATTCCTGTAAATATGTCAGTAGAAGCTATGGCCAACCGAGGACATCATTCCATCGAATACGGTCGTGATGGCTCTCGATAGGCATGCGAGGCCGCAAATCAGCATCCGTCTCAGCGCTGACAAGAACCGGTCACCGAACGGGTTGTCGTCCCCACAATCACAACCTTCTCAGAATAAACCAGCCGCGCCACAGCATCTCGTTTGCAACACGAGTCGTCAAAAGCCCGTAAAACGAGCCAGCCGTTACTGGTCGACCGGCCACGGGCATGGCAACTGAGTTTCCGAGTCCGGACTCCGCAGGACCCTGTCCGGTCTGGGGATAGGAGGGGACAGTCACATGCCGTCACCGGAGCATCCGCAATCTTCGGGAGTGTCGAGACAGGAATCCTCATCAGCGAGCCAGAGGCTGGGATCGAGCAGCGAAATATCCAGCGCTATAAGACAACGGGCCGGATCAGACGGTCCACCGTCTGTCCGTCCAGTGTGGTGTAATGTTCTTCCTTTTCTGGCGGTATTAGTCCTTGTCCTGTGGCATACCTTGCACTGAACGTCTGTCTCCGCGAGATAACGCCCGTCTCCTGAGGAAAAACGCCCATTCCCAGCCGTACAACTACAACTGCACCTATAGTCTCTCGCTCCCAACATCAGCCTACAAGGTGGCTTGTCTCTTGTGGTCTAACGTTTGCCTCACGCGTTATAACGCCCATCTCCCGCAGTATAACGCCCGCCTCTCACAGTATAACGCCCGTCTCTCGCGATATAACGCCCATCTCCCACAGTATAACGCCCATCTCCCACAGTATAACGCCCATCTCCCGCAGTATAACGCCCGTCTCTCGCGGTATAACGCCCGTCTCTCTCGCCACATAACGCCCGTCTCCGAAGGCGGAGCGCGGCCGTGCCGGTTGCTACGCAGCCATCCGTCACGCAGTGCATCCGTCAGAAGCGGACAATGGTGTCAGCCAGTCGTGCAGCCGGGGACAGCGTCGGTGCTCCTCTGAGAGACTGGTCGTTTATCTCCCGTGGGAACGGGGCGGTAACGTCAGCTGTCACGAGTGCGTCACTAGAGAAGCACCGTCCGAGCACACAGAGGAGACAGGCGGTAACGATGCAACGCCTTGAGTAGACGCACCGTCCGAGCATAAATGGAGACACGACAGTCACCAATGCAGTGGCTTGAGGAGACGCACCGTCCGACACACAAAGGAGACAGTCGGTCAGCAATGCAGCGTTTGAGGAGACGCACCGTCCGACACACAGAGGAGACAGCCGGTCACGATGCAACGGCTTGGGGAGACGCACCGTCCGAAACACGGAAAATAGACACTAATGCAGCGGCTATGGGAAAACGCACCGTCCGAACACACAGGGATGACAGGCGCCAATGCAGCGACTTTGGGGAGACGGTGCGTCGTCCACAGCTTTGGGGAGACCGTCCGCACGCAGGGGAGACGATAGTCACCAATGCAGCGGCTCGGGAAGACGCACTGTCGATATTCGCACAGATGAGGATGTTGGTGGGGACGCAACGTTGCGGAAGAAGGTTTGCTTGAATGGGATAATGAGATGGCAGGCGGAATGACAGATGCAACTTCTTTGGGTTCAGGATGCCACTAAAATAGAAACAATGAGCTCGCAAAAACTGTAATGAACCAAAGCCGGAGAAGGAACACTGCATCAGTAACATTAACTATTTAAAGCGCACGAAGTGCCCTGAAAATAGTTCACATTCAAAATGAGAAAGCGGTTGGAACAAATGCGGTTGGAAGACTTATATCTGCCTAGGAAAAGCCTTGATCGCACTAACTGAAAAGTGGATAACTAATTACATTTCTGCCTTTTGCTTGATGCGAGATAAAACCATTCCGAGCGAAGTTCCGCCTCGTACCTACCTAAAGCTTAAAAGCGGAATGCGGATGTCGCCTCCTCAATCTGACTACATACACCTACTATCACCTAACATTTTTTAAAAGATATAATAACTTAATTGAAATATGTATCGCATCGTGGCGACTGATTTGGAATATCACTCAAGAGACGGGATTATGAGCCGGAATCTCTGATAGATATCTTTCAGGGGAGATACCAAGGTGGCAACTTGTCAGCTTATAATCACCGAGCACATCCTGTCGCAGAAATATTGCCGCGGGAAGCAATCTCTAGGACAGCGGGCTGATCAGGTGTCCCCGTGAGGCGCTCAGTCGGTACCGCTCTGCTGCTTCAGTGAATGAGTTCAGAGAAATGCCGGGCGGAGCGAGCGGGTAAATCAGTGACCCAGGACTTCTGCAGGTCTGAGATTGGGCAGGGAGAGTGAGGTGACATTGCTGAGCCAGGGCAGTTCGAGTGGGGGTATGACTGACCCAGAGCAGCGCGAGCGGGTAATATGGGGACCCCAGGCCACGGCCAGCCCTTGACACTACACAGAGCGAACGGGGTAACACGGTGACATGAGGCTCATCACCACTGACAGATCGACCTGTCCGCGACACAAGGTCGCCGACTCTGGCTTCGACACAACACCCCACGGCCGGGCGACCCGGAGCCACTGCCAGTGGCCGCGCGCCAGGGGCGCTATTTCGGCTCCTCTAATGACCTCCCATGTCACGGCAAGGAACACCGTTTTAATTAGCCGGTTACGCACCGTAGAAGGCTGAATAAACTGACGGCGGCTGCAGGGCGCCGGGAGAGGGTCAGGGGACGGGAGGGACGCTATCAGGAATTCGTCGAAACCTGCCGCCCACCGCACCCCCGGCACCGATTGGCCTGAGATTGGCCGCCTGCAGTGGGCTGCATGGACCCAGCTGCCGGAGTTGTGCGACCGCAACCACGCCATCCGACGGGCCATGACGTCTGGGCCTGGCCGACTGGACGGAGTGGGCTCTTCGCACCCAAACACCAGGACAGGGCCCGTTCAACATTGAAGCATCGTTTACGAAGCCAGTGTGTATACCCACACCAGGACTCACCTGAAGAAGACAGCGCCGACTCGGCGACTCCTTTCTCGAGTAGCATGGACCGAACCGCCGGACAGTCGGCGGGTGCGGTGACCACGGCCGCGCGGGCCGTACCGCCCGCCAGCAGCGCACACGTCAGGACCAGAGGCCACATCGCAATCCGTTCTCGTCGCAACTAGTTCGTGTCGCTCACGAGCCACCTGCGCACACGACAGCCCTCACTCGGCGACCACCGGCCGTCCACTGCGGCCCGCGCGCCGCCGGCCGCCGACCGTCGCCAGGTAAAACTGACACCACTGACATCTAGCGGCGAGGAAATTAACTAGGTAGCCGGGCGGGAGCAGTGGCGGTCGCGTGTTGTGTGCAGGAAGGGTTAATTCCGGTTGGATCCATGTTTGATTATCAATGGAGGTCGGCTGAGAAGTGAGACTGTCGGAAAAAGTAGAGCGCCACATTGGCCTTTGATCTGATTTTAATCAAATGAGCTCCGCCGGGTCTGGTCTGGTTTGGTAGATAGCGACAGCGGCGTATTTAGAAAATCGCGAAGGGGGGGGCCAAGGGTTTGGAGGGCGCCACCTCACCCAAGGAGGGCGCCATACGGTCGCGAGATAAAAAATCGCTCAGTGGGGGTTGGGGGGTTGGGAGGCGTTTTTTACCATGCCACCAGTTTTTTTTTTTGCGTAACCTCGTATAGGTCGTGCTGCATTGATTTTGCATCGTGTGTATTCTTTATACTTCAGGTCACAAAAGGTCAAGTGTTCTTGAAATGCTGCGCCGAATTGGCGCGCGAAATTTTTGAAAACAACCTTTTCCTCCGCTTTTTAGGCACGCCTTTTATACGATCACTGTTCAAAGCTCCTCTCGCTCTTTTACCAAATTTGAAGGTGTAAAAAATACCTAAGGTTTGGTCGGGCCGCTGCCACACAAACTGTACAGAAAGCTTGGCTCATGGGTGTCGATGTATAAAAGTTTATTGGCGGTGGCATATCTACGCACCAGATCACCGTATCGGATTGATACCGGAGCGCGAGATGCGTAAACATCATCCAAATTACCTCAGACCAGCCTTCATAGCCTTCTCACAGATGCATAGTGTACCCACATAACCAGTTTCAAAAGTACGTCGAGTATAAAGTACGTATGGAATGAGTACGTCAAGGACGGAAGTAGGCGTAGGTATCGCAGAGGTAGGTACGTACAGTACAAAGTACGTATACCTAGACAAAAGTACCTACGTCAAGGAAGAAAATACGCATCGAAAAAGTACGTAAATTATAAAGTACGTATATCGCTAAGCATAGATGTCGCAATCGGTCGCAACTACAGCGAGACATGCAGTGCAAACGGTAGCAGACAGCAGTAGTTTCCCCTACCAAAGTAGTGGTTTTCTACCACAGACGCTCGTCGAGGTCGGAAATTCCAAATACGCGTTTCAATCACCGAAACTTCAGATGCCTGCTGTTGCGCCCGAACCTGTTGACAATACTTAATCGTAATCCATATAGATGCCATGATGCACGTAAAGTAGGATCAATCCGTTAAGACCAAAGACGTGTTTTATGCATCGTAGAGCGTAGATAGTTTTGGTAGGTATAGATACTTCATTCATTGTGCTGAATGCACGTTCATTTGTGGCAGTTTTCACAGGCAAGACATCAACTATGTGCAATAGAACGACTAAGTTGAAAAACATGCCAAAGGAGTAAATAAATGATAGGAGGGCAGCGATCAACGGATGTTGCCAATAGGTAGAAGGGCTGCGATCCACAGGAGGGCACTAATAGGTAGAAGAGCCCCGATCAACATCCCGAGTTTCGACAGTAGGGCACCGATAGGTAGGAAGTTGGCGAGCAGCAGGAGGGCGCCAATGGATAGAAGGGCAGCGATCAACAGGAGGGCACCAATAGGTAGGAGGGCGCCGATCAACAATCAACAGGAGGGCGCCACCAGGTAAGAGGGTGGCGAGGAACAGGAGAGCACCAATAGGAGGGTGGCGATCAACAAGAGGTCGCCAATAGGTGGGAGGGCGGTCATCAACTGGAAGTCGCCAATGAGCGGAAGGGTGACGATTAAAATGGGGGTGGCAATGGTGAGGAGGGCGCCTTTGCTCAAGAGGATGACACGAACAGGAGGGCGTCTGTGCGGAGGGCGCTGGTCAACAGGAAGGTGCCAGTGGATAGGAGGGCGGTGATCAACAGGAGGGTGCCAGTGGTTAGGAGGGCGGCGATCTACACGAGGGCGCCAATAGGAGAAGGGTCCCGATTAACATTCAACAGGAAGGACTAGGGAACCAATAGGTAGGAGGGCGGCACTGAACAAGAGGGTGCCAAAAGGGAGAAAGGCGGCCTTCAAAATTTCACATGAGGGCGCAATAGGTAGGAGAGCGCCAATAATTATGAGGACGCCGATCAGCAGAAGGGCGGCAATGTGTAGCAGGGTGGCAACCTACAGGAGGGCGCCTTCGGGTGAGAGGGCGCTTATTTACAGGACAGCGGCTTACATAGGCGACCACCGTTACGCTTAGAGAGCTACAGCCTACAAATGTGGTTGGAGGGCGCCCGAGGGAGCCCTCCAACCGTATTTGGAGGGCGTATTTGGAATGGGCGTCCTCCGAGGGCGCCCTCCATCCGTATTTTCCCTGTAAACACATTCGCGATTGGAGGGCGCCCTCCAGTCGCGATTGTTTTTCGATTCGATTATATCACAATTGCATTTGCGATTGGAGGGCGCCTTCGGCGCCCTCCAATCGCAAAGGGCGCCTTCGGCGCCCAAGGGGGGGGGGGCCATGGCCCAGTGGCCCCCCCTGCCTACGCCCCTGGATAGCGATGAGACCTGAACTTGACGGCATGTTGGGCAAAGGACACGAAATGTAAATGTTAACCTGCATGACCATGAGACATATTGAGGGAGCACAAATCATTAAAGTTTGATTGCTTTTGTCATGTTTTTCATATCGGTTTTAAGAACATGCCTCGCTTACCTCGCTTACCTACCTATTGGTCGAATTCGAAATGATTTCGTTTTTTTTAGCTTGCAATGGGGTCGAGGCTGCTCGAAAAATATAGGCATATCTTGGAGGTAGCCCCAAGCCTGGGTGAGTATCGCCCGACACGGTCTTTAACAATAGGTTGTGTTTTTTCTACTACTTTCAATGTTTTTTTTTTCATTATGCCACAATCGAAAGAGCCCTCAGCCCGATCTAATGATAGGTATTCGGGCCGGACCAGACATCTTATTAAAACCATGTGTCGTTCATGCGAGCGCTGAGTACAGTGTCAAACGAGCTGTTGTGGGAATAAGTCTGAGAAAACAGTGCACAAAAGATCTAAGCAATGAAAATGGCTCGAGAGTCGAGATAGATAAAAAAACGATGTCGCCAATTTTTGAACCACTAATAGTTAGATAACTTATCCCAAGGTTAAATATAATACAAAATAAATATGGAAAAAGAGATTCATCAAAGAACGCGCACCAGTGGTCGTCGCTTTTGCAACTGAGACTTGGAATGGATGTCGGCGGAGGGGCGAGGAAGCAGGCCCCGGGGACGATCCATCATACCCTCTGTCGGACGTACTGAGCCGCTCAGAGTTGTGGCCCGATCGTCCGTCAATTTAGGACGTCCGTGCTCCAGAGGCATCCGATCCCCATGACACGCCGCGTATATCGGGCTGTTCTGGCCGTCTTTCGGATAGAAAAGTGGGTAAAAATGGAAAACGTTGTAAAAGTGATAGCAGCTTCCGATACAGGTATGTAAGCAATGTGTGCACTTAGCAGGCGAGACATTAACTTTTTAAGATTTCTAAGAGGCTCAAACACTTTCCTGGCAACTCATTTTTTTAACGATCCTTTTGACAAACATGATTTTATGCGAGTTAGAAAAATTAGCCCTCGCCCGCACATGCCATTTTCCCATCCTAGAACGCACATGGGGGGGGGGGGGGTCGCGCCGTTTCGTTCCTGTTGGAGATAGAGCTTCGCGGTAAAGACCAAAAAGATTCTTTGGGAAGAGACAGACGAATCCAATGATACCCAGTTTTACCTTCTCAGGTCAGTCATTGACCTTCCAGGTCAGGTCAAACTAAAAAATGTTGCTGTTTTGGGTCACCGTTGGATATCAAGTGCGCTGCTTATCATATACCGCGCGATGACGATGCCGTTTTCTGGTGCCAAGCCAGCTAGAACCTCTTTGTCACACTATCCGACCAGGTTTTTGCTGCTGAGGTCATTTCAGGTCAAGTTAGGTCAAGGTCAATGATATGTGTTTGTATGTCTGTGTGTGTCTGTGTGTATACTGATGTGTGCACCGATTGTTTATGTGTCCATATTACATGAAATCATGAAATGAGAAGGCTTTACAAAATACAGTCAAAGAAACTTCACGAAAAGTAAATTCAACTTGCCTAAAACGCAATAATCTTAGATGACCTAGGTTGACCTTGACCCTGACCTTGACATCTGTACATGGTCGAACAACATGTTCCATGATAGTGGGAGGTAAGACTGGCAAAAAAGGCCGAAATCATGGTGTCAAAAGCTCACAAGACCCTCAGCCGACGCAAAATGTTGAGGATTGGTCATTTGGATCATGACATGACCTGAAAAACAAGGTCATATCTCCGAAACCAAAAACCACAGAAACTTGACATTTTCAGTGGACATCAAGAAGGGATAGAAGAGCAGCTATACGAAAAAATCAGGCTTCTAGCTTTAAAAATGTTGAGTGCAGAGCAGAAAAACTACCTGGGGGTGGCAACCCCCCCCCCCCCCCCCCCATGTGCGGGCGAGGGTTAACAGCTGTTGTCGCCTGCTTCTGAACGACAAACTCTTAAGATTGCAAAGGAGTCAAAAGAAAATGTTGAAATGCGACTCATTTTATTTCTTTGTCATCAATCGAAGATGAATGTAAGAATTGGTCTTTATCATGCCGTAAGTGAGAGTGTCCCTCATTTTCATTTGTTACCCGGTAGTTGCTGGGGTATTTCACCACCCGACCTTTGCTGGGAGGGGGGGGGGCGTTAAACGCCCCCAGCCGATAACTCGAGAACCAAAAGGCGCAGCGAAACGCACGAGACGGCAAACGAAAGAACGTGACAAGACACTTCAGAATAGTACTTGAAAGTTGAATTCGAGGTCACAGTTCGGGTCAAGGTCAGGTCAAACACCTGAAATCGGACTTTCAGTACCATGGATTTCAGAACCTCGTAACGGGTGCCCCTCGTGATTAACTCTTTCAAAACGGTGCACAATCCTTCATAAAAGGCCTAAAGAGTGTCAGATCCATGTAGGGGTCAGTTA